GATTGCGGTTGGAAATTCCGTTGGAATTTTCCAACCGAAATTGCGGTTGGAAATCCGTTGGAAAATTCCAACGGAAAAATTCGTTGAAATTCCGTTGAAAATTCCAACGGTTTTCCAACGGACACGGATTTCTAACGACGAAATTCCAACGGATAAATCCGTTGGAAATCCGTTGGAAACGTTAATTTCCAACGGAAATTTGGCCATTTCCAACGGATTTACCCGTTGGAAATGACCATTTTTTTTTGTAGTGTATAAAGGAGAGAGCAAGTGCATATCAGTTCTCACGGAGAGCAAAGCAAATTTTACTAAAGAGAGTTTCTGTTAGTGAGTGAGCACTCACTTTTGAGTGAGTGTGTGTATGAGAAAGAGATCGATTGGGCAAATCTCTTTTCTCTGGTGAGTGTTTGGACGTGGATCTGAGGGGAGGATCTAATGGAAAAATCTCTGTTCCTTTTGTGAGCGTTCACGTTTGGTGAGGTTTTTTGATCGGTAGAATTCATTGTGAGAATGGGTATTGATAGCTCTAACAAAAAGTGAGTTGTACTTGACTTTTTCTCAAGTGAATAGAACTGGTTAGTTTTTTCCTTTACTCTTTGAGGGTCCGGTTTTTTCATCCAAAACAAAACCCGACTTCTCTCAATTTCGTGTTTTCGACTTTCTATGTTTTGTTTCAACTCTTTCCAAGGATCTCCACAAATTTTCTCCTCGAGCCAGACGTGATGTTTTCGTTGGTTATCCTAGCGGCATTAAGGGTTATAAAGTTTTGGACTTAGAATCCAATTCCATCTTTATTTTCCGCAATGTCCGATTTCATGAACATGAGTTTCCTTTTAAAACTCAATCTTTATCTTCTTCAACTCTGAAATTTTTTCCACCTGACACGTCACCTTTCTTTCTTTATGACTCACCTTCCACAATCAGTTCACCATCTTCTTTTTCTTCTCCATTATATGTTCCCTCGAACACCTCCACCTCTTTGGACTCTTCTGGTTCTCTTTCTTCTTCTCCTGTCCATTCCTCTGTTTCTTCGGAATCCTGTAATTCAGAAATTAATGACAGACCCACACGACAGACTCGACCTCCTCCTTATTTACGAGACTACCATTGTTACATGATTTCTCACCGTGAACCACCTTCGATTTCTTCTTCTACACCACATCCTCTTTCGTCCTATCTGTCATATGACAGATTTTCATCAGATTTTCGTCATTTTGCCCTTACCATTACCACCATTCCTGAACCTTCCTCTTATACCCAAGCTGCAAAGTCTGATTAGTGGCGGAATGCGATGAAACTCGAGCTTGATGCGCTCTCTCGGACGAACACTTGGACTGTCTGCTCCCTTCCTCCGGGAAAGAATTCAGTCGACTGTAAAAGGGTCTTCAAGACGAAATATAATCCCGATGGTTCGGTGGAGCGATACAAAGCGAGGCTGGTCGCTAATGGATACACTCAGATTGAGGGTATCGATTTTACTGACACATTTAGCCCTGTCGCAAAAATGACGACTATGCGTATTGTTTTAGCTCTTGCAGCTGCCCATGGATGGATTCTCGATCAAATGGATGTTTCGAACGCTTTTCTTAATGGCGATCTTGATGAAGAGATATATATGTCTTTACCACCTGGATTTTCAGCTCTTCAAGGTGTTCATGTTCCTACAGATTTAGTTTGCCGCCTCAATCGATCAATCTACGGATTAAAACAAACTTCTAGACAAATGGAATCACAAGTTGTCGCAAGTCCTACTCTCTGCTGGTTTTGTGCAGTCTCACTCGGACAATTCCCTGTTCTCTCGGTGCATTGGTTCTCGGTTTGTGTCTATTTTGATTTATGTTGATGATCTTTTGATAGCTGGAAACGATTCTGTCTTAGTTGAGCAGCTCAAAGACAGTCTCTAATCTCATTTCTAGCTGAAAGATCTTGGCGCTCTTCGGTATTTTTTGGGTTTCCAAGTAGCACGCTCGAAAGATGGAATTTCGGTTTGTAAACGTAAATACTCGTTGGAACTTGTCGAGGAGTTTGGAATGTTGGGTTCGAAGCCGATTGCTACACCTATGGAGTTTGGCCTGAAACTACATCAAGATTCAGGGGATCTTCTTTCGGATCCAACTCACTATCGTCAATTGATGGGCAAACTGATCTATTTATCCATCACTCGGCCGGATCTTGGTTTCGCTGTGACTAAACTCAACCATTACATGTCGCAGCCACACTCGGATCACCTCAAATCAACTTATAGAGTATTACGTTATTTAAAATCGGTACCTGCTCAAATTTTATACTCCTCGAAGCCTGATCTCTGTCTCAGCGCATATACAGACGCCGATTGGGCCTCTTGCCCTGATTCTCACCGTTCAGTTACAGACTTTTGTGTCTTTCTGGGCGGATCGTTGATTTCATGGAAATCGAAAAAGCAACCGACTGTTTGTCGCAGCTCTGCCGAATCTGAATATCGTGCCATGGCTCAAATGACGTGTGAGCTTGTTTGGGTGGATGCACTCCTTCGGGAACTTGGGTTTCAATCCCCACGTCCGGTCTCTCTCTACTGTGACAATCGTTCGGCCATCCATATTGCGAGCAATCCGGTTTATCACGAACGCACCAAACATATTGAGCTCGATTGCCACTTTGTCCGGGAACGTCTAAAATCGGGTTTTCTCAATCCTTTGCACATCCCTGCTACTGA